GGAGCAATGTTTTATAAAGGGTTTAATTGGGGAACTGGTGGTTTTGGTCAGCTGTCAGTTTTGAAGAAGCCTAGAGAAAGCTATATCAGCTAATGAATCAGAACCATTGGCCTCAGGAGCTAAGTAAAGGGAGATTCCATGTGCATTTTTCCAGTGGAAAAACTTTTCACAATTGAGGTCCCAAAAACAAATTTATTTTTGAGGATCAGGTGCCTTCCTGGTCGACTACCTTGAAAATTTGTTTAGGAGCAATGTTTTATAAAGGGTTTAATTGGGTTCAGAAGGAAGGGGGGGGAGTGCAGGTGGACAGGGTTCAGAAGGAATTCAAACCCTCATTAATTGGGTTTCCAATTTAAAAATTTAGGGCCAAAAAAAACATTAGCATTATAGAGGTACCATTTTTCAAACAGGGGGGTCTGAATAATTTTGGAAAAATTTAGCATTATAGAAGTCCCCTTTACTAATCGTGATCCAACATTATTCTACGTTGAAATGTCACCAATCCTTCTTTGGGCAAAGTTTCAGTACTGAGGCATTTGGACATGTCCCTCAACCAACTCTCGAGTACAATGTCCTAGCGGAGTTGAGCCCAAGCAGGATGCATGCAGCGGCGGCGGATGCAGTTTTTTGTGTTGAACTATTGGTCATGCAGATATGCCTACCTGCTACCTTTTGATGGACACCGGCCATTGTTTAGTGCAATTCTAGCTTGCTGGTGAAGAACCGCAGATAAACAAGTTGTGGAGCTACAAAAGCAAACCCTGCTGAGATTATTTATATATTTGGGACATAAGCTCCCTTCCCACGCTTTGAGTACAGCTTACACCTTCCATGGTTGGAATGCGCCGCTGGCAGGGAAAAAAGATAAACTAGCTTCGCATCACTCGCATTTGCAGAGTTGGGCTGGAATAGATTGCATCCAAGTTGTCGATGTCCTCCTGCTCCATTGATTTCCTTTGTCAAACTGCTGGTTGTAAAAGCGGTGTTTGTTGAATTGGACGACAACCAGAAATGACCATCCAGCAACCCCTGCACATCACACTTTGGTGTCTAAACCGTTGTTTTGAACCAGCACCCCCCTCCAACAAAAAAGACAGAAAGGAGAAGCCAAGAATCCAATGATCCAATTTTGAGCGTTTCTTTTTGAGCGTTCTTTTGAGGCAAGGCAGCAGTGATGCACCTCACCAAGATCTCGGCCTTGGACCTGGCGCCCAGCAACGTGCGCGTGAACTCCGTGAGTCCGGCGCGGAGGGTCCGCGGGTCCGTCGCCAATGCGTTCGGTTCGGTGGAAATCATCGAAATGTCCGCAGTTGGACGCATGAGGATGCAAACTCGATATGTTGGGTGAGAAAGACAAATGGAAGACCATGCAATTGAGAGACCTGCAAGGAAAGATTAAAACATATTAAAACATATTAGAACAAAAGGACCATGGGCTGATGTACATGCAACACGATGTGACAGGTAACATGGTTTGTATAGAAACTTGGATGTTGTGCTTTCTAAGCGCCCCGAATGCAGAAGCATCGGACATGTCCTTCTTCATCACAAAGCATGGGTTGCATCGCCTTTTCATGCAATGGAAAAGTGAAAGAGGTTGCCCGAGTTTCACTGACTGACTCGATAGTCCAGCTGGACAGATCGAACACAACAAAGCAGTGATCAGTCATGTTTCTGATACTTGTAAAAGGAATTTCTGCATATTTCTGCGCGCTCGCAGGTCAAAATATTTTCAGACTGCCGTGGTCACATTCTCGCCCTTTCAGTTTCGCTCCCGCCATTCTGCTACCAGGCCTTTATTGGACCGGAGGATGGCTTTATGTGGCGCAGACAGGTGGAACTTCAGGCAAAAGCCAATCCAACCAACGCTCCGGAGCCACTCGTCAGACCGCCCGAGACGCCCGAGACGACGCCTCAGAGACGTGGGACGCGTAGACCGCGCCGTATCACCGGGAGGAGGGCAGCGGTCGACATGAGATGTCGTAACGATGGTGCAGGTTGACTCAAGAGATCCAAAAGAACAAAGAGATGTATGACGATTTGTAGCATAGGTGATGTTACTGTTTTTTTCTTTGGTTGTTTGTTTCTGTCTAATTAATTGTGTTTAGACGTTTTTTGTTATGTATCATTATTGCCTCAGGGTGCTATCACATTGGGGAACTAGCTGCATTAGCCGGAGTTCGCATGCCAATCATGTGCATCAGATGCTTTAGAGACCCCGCTCAGCTGGTTGACAGGTGAATCAAAGATATTCAAATGAGAAAGTAGCCGCAAGTAGCCGGCACTTGGATCAACAGCGAAGACTCAAAACTGTGGTTGGTGGACTCTTTTGTTTGGTTGCCATTGTCCAACATGGAGCAGGGGTTCAATACCTACGCAATTCATGGCAGATGCCTGCCTTTTGCAGGCCCACAAGCCATCCCTTCGAGCGACCTTCGTGTGACCAGGCGGTACTATTCCAATGATCCAGACGAAGTGGCAAAGCAGATGTTGGTGCGGCCCACACCTTTTGATCAGACCTCTTTCGCCATGCGAGATGAAGTAGTATGAAGTCGATGTCCCATCGGACTTTTCTAGGCTGCACCCTAGCGCCGAGTTGTTTGATCAGCCAACTGTTCCCTTCCTGTTTCACCCTTTGGCGCCGATGTCCCAGGAGTCCGTTCCTTTGCGACGCTTGGGCACTCCTGAGGAGGTGGTGCAGAGCGTGATGTTCCTCTTGAGCGAGGTGGGGGCATTCAGAAGCAGGCTTTCCAGGAGGCATTCGAGATGTTTTCTTTGCAACACCTGTCTACATTATTTCTATACGAATTAAGTGGGCAAAGTGAGAGAAGATGATGGAGATTGAAGCTTCTCGTCAGCCGCCAGCCTTTCGAAGATTTCCTTGTACCAAGTAAGCATGCCGGATGCCTGTTCAGCTCATGGGAAGGAGTCCTCATATATCACCGGCATCGATATCAACATCTCTGGTGGGAATGTGTTGGGCGGAGCTCGTGGCTGAGAAGTGCGCTTCTCGTACTTGCCCAGATGTACAGGCGAAGCGCACGATCTTTTGATGGTGGGAGTCAGTCTCCCACAGTAGCTCGTTGGATCTTTGCAAGGGATACTCTTGAAGATAATTGCTCAGTGCAAAGTCTTTTGCAAAGACAACCCGGCGAGCAACGCCTGCAATTTCGCCGGAGAAACTGGATTGAACATTGCGTTGATTCCTCAGGGTCCTGCACCCAGTCCTATAACGATGAGATGTCATCTTTGCAAAGGGCTGATTGTAGTCATCCATGTGTGAAAGGGAGTACAGGAGGAAATCACGAGGATTCCCTAGCGTCCTTGCTCCAAGAGATCTTGGGGTGTGTACAACAGGTCCACAAGTTAGAAACCTCACTAGCGGCGCTTCAGGCCAAATGTTGCCACCTTCCGGCATTTTTGGGCAACTTCCTGCGAATGTCATACTGTAAATGAAAGAACTGCCACGACATCGGAGCCAAGGTATTCCCGTAGTATTCTCACTGATGGAACCCATGCCGACCCATGGCATCAAGTCGCGTGGCTGACTCAAAGCCGTGACAGTGATTTCATTGGAAAGCCGTTACTGTAAATGTTGGGTCCCGAAAGCGTTGGCAGGTTTGTGATTTGCATGAAACCAAGCCGTGCTTATAGGCCTTGCGCGGGTGTCCTTCGTCAGTTGGCTTGTAGGAAGCAGATCTTAGGAATAATCCATCATCAGACATGTTTGTTTGCACAGGTTTAGAACGGCTTCCATCGAAGGCTTTAGATTGGTTTTGCTCAAAGACTTCAGCACACATCAAAAAAAGTTGAGGAAACGAAAAGGGACTCTATAAACCAGTCTTATAGATACCCCCTTGGACCGTTTGGACAACAGGACTGTTTTGTTCTCAAATGTGTAACATGTAACTTATAGCTTGTAACTATTTATAACTAGACTCTAACACTCGCAAGAGTGAGCTCTACATGGCCAATGACGTCCTCAACCTTCGGACCCGGCTGTGGGCTTCCCAGACACTTCGACATGTTCGTCACGCATGCATTTGGCCAAAGTAATCAGGTGTGTACAGCCAAGTGCTTTTTGGGGAATTAAGGAACTGTGGTGAAAACCGGCAGACTAGAGTCTGTGACTAGAGCGGAGTATGGGGTACTTGTTGTATTCAGATTCCAACATCCACCTTTGCTTGCGAAGCTTACCAGGTTGCTTAGCCACTTAGCGGCCTTGGCCCGGGGATGAATGAGAGAGAGAGAGAGGCCGTGCACCTTTCTTCACCACTCGCATCGGAGCTTCCGTCATGAGCCAAGCTCACTAGCGACTGACTGTGACCTTGGGACATTCAGTTTGCCTGACTCAAGCTTGGGAAGTTGCCGTGCTGTAGATGAAGCTTTACTAGATGAACCCAGCACAGCTTGCCCTTGTTATGGAGTGCGTTGAAAGATCAGATTCTGCAGCTCAGAGCTTTGGCGGTTCCAGGTTGTGAGCCATGAACCTCAAGATCCACGAGCAAAGTCCCGTGGCCCAGTGGACCGACATTGATGCACGGGGCCCAGCAAAATCTCTGAGGCGGGGCCCTGCACAGATCCGCAATGATCCAGGGGCACGCTTCAAGGACAGTGTAGAGAGAGGGAGAGAGTTCAGCATGCAGAAAGAAAGAGGTTTGTAGGTGACAGAAGGGACTTGGGACAGGTGTTTCTATATTCTGGAAGCAGTTGAGCTCCAGAAATTGAGGTAGATGCGTAGAATAAAGAACCGGCTCCGCTTCCAGCTCAATATACAGCTTGGGTAAGCAATTGGACATACGATGATTTGCAGGTGTCTTTTGCTCTTTGGGTTGGGATGTTTGGAAGGATGGATTGATGGTGGGGGAAGACATCGGGAACACGTGCTTATGATAGGAAGGTTTTTTGGGATTCGGCTCATGTCCAACTGGCGGGTGGTAGTCATCACATGCAAACACCATGTTGACCATTTGGCAGTTGGAGCCTTTGTGTCGAACAAAGCTCACTTAACAGCTGCCAGCCAGTAGGTGGACATCTCATTTTGTTTATGGCGTCTATCTATGTCAGGTTTGGCAATTCCTGGCAATGATCCTTTTCACAAGCCCATATGGCTTCCCCTCACATTATATATGATCAAGTCAAGAGGGCCTGGTGGAATCCATGTTCAAGACTAGCAACGATGTCGCAAGACAGACAAAGTTTATCATTTATAAATATATAATCGTGTTTTGCTGAATGTGTGTACAATATATTGGAACTCGCATGCAGCATGATAGGTACTACGAGTCAAGGATGCCGCTTTGGCTGTTTGGCCACATCTCTTCAGTTGCTAGATTCAGTGTAACTGCAACCTTGGTGTAGGATTGGTTTACATCACATCATATCCCAGAAGCTGTTTTCGTGCAGGATAGCTATGCGCAGTTTGCAAAGCACTTGAACCAATGGCTGCGGCAGTAGCAGCCTTGGGCAAGCAAAAAACAAGCTTCAGCTTGCACTTGCGCACGCTTTATTAACTTCTTCTTCACTTGCCTTGGGTCATACAGTCTACTCGCAAAGTTGGTAGTAAACAGTTAGATGGCACCGCGAGGAATACATGCATAGTTGGCCAGTGAATTCCACAAGCTAGCAGGGTGGCGCTGGAATAGGGACCCTTTTTGGATTTGATGCGGATGGTGTGACACCGCGGTGTTTTGCGAAGACCGGCCAAACTGCCTCATTGATGAATCTGAGGTTCCCACTGGATGGCACGAATGGGCAGCGGGCCCAGGGACTAAAGCGATGAAATGAATGAAGAGGTGGTTTCATGGCGCATGGCGCGGGTGCAATGCCAGTCATAATGAAACGATGATCCGTCGTGCTGCGCTGGTCTCCCGGTTTGTCCATTTCGGTTTGCACAGAGATTCCAGTCACCTGTTCTCACTCACACCTGATCCAATTTGGACTCACGAAACTTGGCTCAGCAAGCAGTAGTTGAGTCTCGTGCGTCACCCATTTAGGGGATGCAGTATTCATGGCAGGCATTTTGCCCTACGCTTTTTTGTTGGCAGTGAGCCAGTGGTTTGCTGACAGCACGTTTATTTGCAGAGAAGATTGGCCCTATGGCTTCAGTCAGGACTTGGCATAAGCTTTGAATCTACACGTGCTTTGAGTCTGCTTGTTCTTCCGTGTTTTTTTCTTTACAGCAACCGCAGGAGCAAGTCGCTTTCTTTGGCTACCACCACGCAGTGGGACAGTGCAAAGGTGACCCGTTCGTGATTGCCAGCACAGGGCTCGAGCAGATTGAAGCTTGGACAAGCAAAGACCATGAAGGCATCGCTTTGAGACTCAGGCCGGGCATGGCTGAACAGAAACTGTGGATGTTCAACCATGATTGGCCCAGTGCAGAAACTTGCAACCTGCGACTTCAAAAGAAAGCATGTGAGTGCAATTAGAAGAGAAGCGCCCCATACTGTACTCTCTCATGTTGTTTCTACACAGGATGCATTGCATGTTGAAAGAGTGGCGTGGCAGGTACTCTATTGGAGGTGAAGTGGCCCGCTTTGCCGGAGAACCAAACTTTTCAAGCCCCGAATCTCACTGTGACTTTGTTGGGCAGAAGCTTGATAAAGTCATTGTGTTCACCACGAAGGTTCAAAAGAATCAGACCTATCACAACACAGAGGGCAGCCCGATCACTCCGGAATCTCCATACATTCAAGGAATCGAATTTGTTCAAGATGACCAGCGCTGTTTGATTGGCAAAGACCAAGGGCTCGGCTACCACTTCTCCCCCAACTATCGCTTCCACTTGCTGGGCCTATGGGGTCGAGCGTCGACGTCGATCACTCAAATTGGGGTTTTGATGCAGCCCTTGCAACACCGAGAAGTTTGGGCAGGTCGCACCGTTTTTTTACCCGACTATGCCCAGAGTGTCGCCTACAATGAAGATGGGTCCCTGCGTTGCGCTGGTGGCACTTCAGGTCGCTTCTTTGTAGATGTCTCGCACAAAGGGATTCAAGAGCTGGGAGTCTATGCCGGTGCAGAAGGATTGATTACAGCTCTGCGCTTTCGATTTGTGGGCTCTGAGGAATACATTCGCATTGGCCAGGCTGTAGACCTCTCCAACGTTGATGAGCAATGCACACTCCATTTCAGCCCAAAGGAAGTCGCTGAGCCGAATGGGCCAAAGACCATGAGGATCATCAAGGGTTTCAATTTCTCTCATTAATACATGTAATATCATGTAATTACTTCACAAAAATTCGAGCTCATCCTGAGCAGAACAAATAGATAATACAAAATAATTTAACCTGATTGATGAGTCGAGTTTTGGCGTACATTGGTAAGTGTAGTACTTCAGAAGTGTTTGCTTCTTAGCACCTTTTGCTTCTTAGGGATTTCACAAACTCCGGCAACGTGACATTTTTGTGGCGGGTGGTGGCACGATCGTCAAATATGTCCTGCTGTTAAAAAGTAATCTTTTTCAATTGACGCACCAATATGCATATAGGTGTTGGTTTGACCCATCCAAGATTCTTGGAGAGATGGAGAGTGGAGTGTCGTGTGTGCGTGTGTGTGTGTGTGTGTGTGTTTGTGTCTGTCAAATTTTCAAAGGGCTCGCAGAATCGATCTTTCGAGTTCGTTCCAACTCTATGAATATGCAGCTGAACCGTGAATGTGCAGCTGAACCAGCAGCGGGGGAACTGGGCACTCTGTGACTGACCCAGTTCAACGAAGCTAGCCTGTGCACTTTGTGACTGACCCAGTTCAACGAAGCTAGGTCACAGAATGGGATATTCGGACTGATCATCCGAACGTGCCTGCTGATGACAACACTCCAATCTTCCGGCGCTGTTTCTTGGTTTCATGGTTGTTGCATGCTATTCCCCCAAACCACTCTCCAGCAGATGTGCAGCAGCTTTGCGGCAGAATCTCGCGCAGTTCAACCAATTATGTTAAAACACCTTCACATCGACTGACCCAGCGATCTTGCGGTTCCTGCATTCCTTTCTCCGTGGATTATCTCACTGAATGAAACCTTGTCGAAGTGTGAACTGCTGCGCTTTCCCACTCGGGTGCGTAGGGGCGCTGAAGCCACGCGGGACTGCCACTAATTAACAGCTTTTCGTGTTGTGCACTGGATTGCCGCTAACAGCTCCATCGGTTTTCATGAACCAACTGCAATTATGCCGCCGGGCCCACTGTTTTTCCATCGGATTCTGAGTGCTTGATCGAGTCAAGGGCTAAGTTTTCAAGTCAAGGGCTAAGTATTCACTAGATGTAGGACCTACATAATTTCCAAGCTGTCTACTGGGCAGTTACCTTATTCTTAGCGCATTCGCAACTGCGCTTGATCGGGGCAACAAAGGACCCTGATAATCGAATTCAATCAGCCGTGCCGCTGAAGCAGCCGCGCCGCTGAATCTACTGAGTTGAGCTGCTTTCCTTCCTTTTTCGTTCTTTCTATGTCTTTCGTTCGTTGCTAAAGGCTTTTTAGGTGCTAAATGATGCTTTTTAGTCAAGTGAAGTGTACGCCAGACACGGCTTTTCACCTGCGCAGTGCCGCCGCGCTGCCGAGCTGCTGAGCGCCGTCTACACCAAGCCACACACTGCAAACATGCCTACAACCTTTTCCCTTTCCCTTCCATACGAGGGGTGCCTGGGCCTTTCACTGTGCAGCTGGCAACCAACACCAACCATCCATGTTCTCCTGCCAGGTAAGCGCCAAAACGATCCAAGTCCTCCAAGAAAACATTCAAGCGCCAGCTGATTCTCTTCATTAGCAACTGTCCGGATCAGTGAACTCACAGCCACAATCCTTCTAGTTCGCTCACCCCTTTTGTGATTCACCACCAAGGCGTGAATGTCTCTTCGTGTGTCTCCCGACGGCTCATGTGACAAAAACCAGGCATGCAGCAGTCAGGCCCTTTAGTCAAAAGCGCCAGAAGGTCGGCTGCCTGTGTCAAACCCTGTTTCACGCAGAATCAATCTTTCGAGTTCGTTCCAACTCTATGGATATGCCGCTGAACCAGCAGCGGGGGAACTGTGCACTTTGTGACTGACCCAGTTCAACGAAGCTAGGTCACAGAATGGGATATTCGGACTGATCATCCGAACGTGCCTGCTGATGACAACACTCCAATCTTCCGGTGCTGTTTCTTGGCTTCATGGTTGTTGCATGCTATTCCCCCAAACCACTCTCCAGCAGATGTGCAGCAGCTTTGCGGCAGAGCCTTGCGCAGTTCAAACAATTTTGTTGAAACACCTTCACATCGACTGACCCAGCGATCTTGGCGGTTCCTGCATTCCTTTCTCCGTGGATTATCTCACTGACTGAAACCTTGTCGAAGTGTGTGTGTGTGTGTATGTGTACTCCTTGGAATCACAGGGATCCTATCGGATTGTTCTCACTTTTGGAGTTTTTGAGTTTTTCAGCAGGGGGACCATCCATGTACTGTGAGCGATGGTCCAACGAAGCGGCCACAGTACATGCGGATATCTGGCCTGATCAGCCAGACGTACCTGCAATTCCTTTCGAATGGCATGAGGCTAAGCCCAGAACCTCCAAGACATGACACTGCACGTCGCTGCACAGTCACGCACGGAACGCCGTCACTCTGTCGGATCGGTTTCGCCTTACGAGTTTGGCCCCCTCTCCGTTTGAAGACCCCGAGGCACCTGTGGTTCTTATTCGTACTCTTAGGAAATGGAACCCTAGGCCGGCGTGTGGCACCGCTTTCAGTTCCGTACACATATCTTACGCGTGTTTGGCCTCGTGCCAACCCGGGATCGAGCCCGCAGAGTGCCTCCCGTAGACCCGTCGAACGGGGGTTTGTCCATGTTCCCCGGCTCTGGGAACGCAGATGTCCGCAGCGGACAGTAGCTGGCTTATGCCATAAGAAGTTGGATGTTTGTCTCATTTTTGGAATTCCAAGTTGGCTCATGCCCTTACGTGACCGCAGCGGTCAAAGCAGCCAGCCATTTTGGCACGGCGTACGCCTAGGTTCTCTAATGAGGTTCTCCCGTCCCCTCCATTTGGTTCCCCTTTTCATTCTTTCCCCTTCACACACCTCTTTCTCTTCTTTCTTTTCATGTCTTCCCTTGCTTCATGTCCTTTCATCTCACTCCTCTCTTTCTTTTGCGCGCACAACGGTCTGGGCCTTAGTCTGTACGCGCACATCTACTTGCACACTCAGGTTTTAGGTCGCCCAGGTCTCGACAATGAGGTGGGTTTCATCGGTTGTCCCTGTGCACTTGGTTTCTCTTTCATCGCAACCACACACACTTTTGTCTCCGTCTCGTCCTCCTTCTCATGTCTTCACCCTTTTGTCCTTGAGGCGCGCACATTTGCACTTTCGTCCTAGCCTTAATTTGTGCCTCCCTTTGGGGAGGCGTGTGTGTGTACCCCTTGGAATCACAGGGATCCTTTCGGACTGTTCTCACTTTTGAATTTTTGATCTTTTCGGCAGGGGGACCATCCATGTACTGTGAGCGATGGTCCAACGAAGCGGCCACATTACATGCGGATATCTGGCCTGATCAGCCAGACGTACCTGCAATTCCTTTCGGCATGAGGCTAAGCCCAGAACCTCCAAGACATGACACTGCACGTCGCTGCAGTCACGCACGGAACGCCGTCACTCTGTCGGATCGGTTTCGCCTTACGAGTTTGGCCCCTTCTCCGTTTGAAGACCCCGAGGCACCTGTGGTTCTTATTCGTACTCTTAGGAAATGGAACCCTAGGCCGGCGTGTGGCACCGCTTTCAGTTCCGTAC